GTAACCATTACGTTTCACAGGTAATTGCAAATCAAACACTATGGCTTGATATGGTAAGAAAAACCTTAGTTACTGATTATGCAGATGTTAAATATTTACCTTTGTTGTGTATATATTTACTTAACAAGTTAATATTATTATGTTTTACTCAAAATTGTTATGTTGTTAGTTATATAACGTTATATAGAGTAGACTTAACGGGTAACCGGGGCTCCGGCTCGACGTGCAGGAGAAGGAACGGGGTGGTGTTTAGTCAGTAAGAGTCTGACACTCCCTTCCGCCTCACCCAGGCGGAAGAAGTCATCCGACGTATTTCTCCCCTTAAAAAAATCACTAAACATCGGTTGCCAATCTAGATTCGTAATATCTCTTTTTAGCGCTTAGTGAGTTTGATTTAGAGAGATAAAATCTTATTTTTTTTAAGCACTTCCTTCAAAACACAGACTTCACCTCCTCTTTTTTGAAGTAGGTTAATTAGGTAATATATTAAAACCTTATCCTAAGTGTTACAAACACTTATCTGAAAAACGCATCAAAATCGGTATAGCCGATCGCGAGATAATCGCGCATAAACATACATACATACATTCAACTATATTATACATACATTACATACACACGGGTCAAACCGAGAACCTACATTTTTTTAAAGTCGGTTAAAATCACAGGATCTCATGCTCGTCGGTTTTGTTAGCGACCTTGCTAGTGAAGCGACTCCTGTACCTTCATCGAAATCGGGCCAGTGCTTTAAGTGCAATGAACTCACACACGGTTTGATACTTTTTATACCTTCAACCAAAGGTCAGGAGGAGGAGAAAAACTTGAGTCATGGCTATTAAATTGCAATATTATACATATTATTGTTGCTTAGATATCCATGTTGTTTTTGTAAAATATACCTCTACACTAAACTTCTTCTTCTTTGAGCCGGAGCCCTGGCAACCCGTTAAGTTTATCGTGGCTCCGTATTAGGCATCAGCCCCACTAGGCCCCACCTGTTGTGGTTGGAACCAAGAGATGTATATTGGATACTTTTTACTTCTAAAAATCCTACGAAAACAAGAAAATACGGGATTCCGCGTACGTAGTCGCGGGCAGAAGCTAGAACTAGTAAAATAACTAATAAGAAAGGCGTACTAAAATATGTTTATCCTTACTTAATAAAGGGAATAAATTGTGTGTTTGTTTATATATGTTCCTGTTCCTGATGGATGATAAGATCTGAACTATTAACCTTTTCCTTCCCCCATTTATATAGTTTCGAAAGGTCTGGTAAAGTGGTGACCCAGTAATGATAACCTACTTCCCTTGTTCCTGACTCCTGGTGATAAGTGGGAAAAGAAACATTAACTGCCTCGTTGGCAGAGTGGTCAAAGTACTACTGGTTTATTTAAACATTCTCAGTAGTAGCTCGGAGTATGGAACTGTGGCCGGTATATGGCAATAGGCTCACCCCCTAGGACTGGGGACATGGGAAGTGGGTGTTTCATTGTACAGTGGCATTAAGTGCCGTAATGTGCGCCTCTGCCTACAACTCCGGTGACAAAAATCGTGTCGTCAATATTTATTTTATACAAGAGTAAGTTTAGTAACTGTTGAGTTGATGAAGAGGCTTTTTCTTTTCTAAGTTGGCCAAAGTATTACTAGTTTTGTAGACTTTTGAATTTATGGTAACTAATAGCTTACAGCTGAAAATTGCACCTGGTGTAAGGAAACAGCGTTGTTTTTTATAATATGGGAGTGTCTAAGTTTGTTTATGTTAATCCTAATCTTATCTTTAAAAATAAGTAATACAAATTCTTCAGTAGGTAGATATAGTGGGTCATGGAATTCCTGAACGATTCCGGTTTTAATAACTTTTATTCCTGGATAGATTGAATTGACAAATTATCGATCGTTGTCTGCCAAGTCCAATATGAAGCTGATGAAACTGACAAGTAGGTTCCTTGAGGAGTATTGGGGAGGAAGAAGAAATTTTTTTTAATTCCTCAAAAAGTGTGGGAGAGCCATGCTTCGGCACGACTGGGCCGGCTCGACCGGAGAAATATCACGGGCTCACAGAAAACCGTGAAATGTTTGCGTTGTGTTTCGTCGTGAGAGTTTGGTTACCGGAAGCCCAATTTGAAACAAGTAAGAAAAAGCATTTATTTGGCAAATGGCACACAAACAAAGATTATGAAAAATAAAGATACAGATACTTACATAATAAAAAATCATCAAAATATAACAAAATAATTTACTTACAATACAAAACAAATGCAATAACTTTTTGATATAAAAAAATTTAATATACAAAAAAAAAATCCCCTCCTCCCTAGTCTCCACAATCCTTGCATCCCCCACACTCCTCAAATTCCAAATTCCCTAAAGGCCGGTAACGCACTTGTAACGCGTCTGGTGTTTCAGGTGTCCATGGACGATGCCGATTGCTCACCATTAGGTGATACGTGTGCTTGTTTACCGGTTTATTTTATAAAAAAAGTCCCCAAAAACTATGGGAATCCCTAAAAATACGACATTTTACCAAGTTTTATATGTAGGATATGTTATAATTATATTTTTTTTTTTTAAGGGGGGAAAATACGGAATCAGGGGTAATATACTTGAGCTCATAAAATCTTACCTGACAAATAGAGAGCAAATTACATACATAAACAAAATCTGTCCCTACACAAAAACCGAAAAGACATATACCTCTACACGTAGGAAGTGTCTATTCGGAGTACCACAGGGTAGTGTTCTCGCACCCTTGCTATTTATTATATATATCAATGACATGCCTAAAGTAATTAATAACCCAATGATACTATTCGCGGACGACAGCACAATACTATTTAAGAAAACAAAAGATGACGAGACTTTCGAAAAAGATATAAATGACAATTTAAATAACATCATATCCTGGCTAACCAAAAATAACTTAAAAATTAACCTAGAAAAAACGACGTTATCTTTTGAACAAAGAACTATTTATAAAAATCTAAATATTCACTACGGTGACCAAAAAATTTATGCAACTGATAACACAAAATTCTTAGGCATAAGTATTGACAAAAACATGACATGGAAAACTCACGTTGAAAATATATGCAAAAAGCTCAGCCAGTACTCGTATGCATTATACAACCTAAGAAAGTGTCAAATCTTCCAACATTAATAATGGCGTATCATGGATATGTTGCATCCACTCTAAGATACGGACTCAAATTTTGGGGCAACTCGCCAAATAAACAAAATGCATTTAAAGCACAGAAAAGTGTATCAGAGCCATATGCGGCATACAAAATACAGAGAGCTGTAAACCACATTTTCAGCGGCTACAGCTGCTTACGCTTCCATGTCTCTACATATATGAGGTAGCCACTTTTGTTAAAGCAAACCTACACATATATACCCATCCAAAGAGCACACGACACAGACACGAAATATGCATAACACCTCACAAAAAAGCCATATTTAATAACAACATTTTGGGTATGGCACCCAAAATATAACAACAAGTTACCAAATGCTATAACTAACATCAGCAGTGTAGACGAGTTCAAAAGGTCCCTACAAGTACACCTGGTAACAAAATGTTACTACTCCATCAAGGAATTTTTAGATGAAAGATGACTGCCTGCTGGATCCGATTTGCATTGGTGGCATTTGTTTTGATTTATATAGGAACAACGAAATTATCAGTAAAAACTTTAGTATGTTGTACCCACTGACTAGGTTAATATGACTTAAAAAAAAATGTACTGTTTCACGTTCATCTTGACATCCGCTAATGACTAATTAAAATTTTCATCAAGGACATTATCTTTATTTTTATATACATTCGTGACTATTGTAATAATTTATTCGAATGAAATTAATATTAATGACGTTATTAAATTAAATACTTAAATGTTTAACCTAATTTGTATGTGACATATCACAAAACATAGATGGTCAATATTATACCATGAAATGTAACATCCCATTGTACCTATGTTTACAAATAAATATTTTCATTTTCATTTTCATTTTCATTTTCATTTTTCAAAATCATCGAATGACTGCTCCCGCCTGGGTGAGGCGGAAGGGAGTGTCAGACTCTTACTGACTAAAAACTACCCCGTTCCTTCTCCTCCATGTCGAGCCGGAACCCCGGTTACCCGTTAGGTTCTCCGCGACGTTATAATTATAATAAGTAAATTATAATTACACTATGTTTAGTGCGTAAATACGTGCTTATAGTGTATGATTTTAATTGGATAATCAGGTCACATTTCCGCGATAGCAAATAATTTTATGTTGTTAATTATAATATATTTAATCGTCAGCTAGTCTATTTGTTGTACATAGACTTTGGGTTCGATTAAATTAACTAAAATCTCCTTTAAGCATTAAAGTGGGTCAAAAATACTAAGGCAGATACCTACTTATTTACCACACAATAAATTAAGTGTTATAGATTATTTTTGTGTTTATTTTGAAAAATATAAACTTATGCAAGACTTTTAATTTTGCTATACCTTGTACCTACCTCGTTTATAAATCACATAATTACCCTTAGCACACTGAGTAAGGGTATGACTAAACTTCATTATAAAATTGTTTTAATCGCATTAACCTTTTAAGGTTTCCTTCTAACGCGTCAACATTTTTTACATTCTACATTCTAACCAATACATAACATGGTTGGCGGTCCAAACAGGCTATTTGTGAATTATAACTTCTGTACAATGTACCTAAAAAGTTACTATTATTTATATGCTAAAAATACTCGATTTAATTGTCAATTGATCGCTAGAGGAGATCGGTACTTACCGATCAAGACGTTTGATTCCCGGATAAAAAATTGCGTCAAGTGTAAAATTATTACGTCCAGTGCATCATTAGATAATGTGACCAATATTAAGCTTTTAATATATTGCACAATGCGTTACCTGTTCGAGGAATAATCGGCATGACGCCTCATACCTATGTTATGTTATAAAAAATAAAGAAAAAAATAAAGCTGTCACTGTCACCTTTCCCGCCAGTTCCAGTGCGCGCCATTTTCTCCTTTTTCGATGTTTCACTGTAATATTCTTCCAGTTTATTCTTATGATACAATGTAAACGCTATAAAACAAACTATAAGTCCGCTGTAAACTATGAAACAGTTTTTTTCTAAAGTCCATATTGCTAACGATATCACATTCATTTTGTTTAATTATATTTTGTGAACACAGTAAACTCGTGCGTGTTCGTTCGCGTCTCGCGCCGTACTAAAGTTTGTTGTCGTGTTATAATTGTTATGACCAATGGATTTGCTGTTGATAAAGCTATTTTTATTCCAATTTAAACTTTATCTTGATGCGATAAGACTCACGTGTGGTTTGATTGTTTATTTCTTCTTGTTTTCATGTTGGCATCCCGTAGCATCTTTTTGCTAGTTGTCGTGTCCTTGAATTTTTTCTCCTCAGACGTTGACGGCGCTTGTGAATATTTGCACGCGAGAATAGTTCACTCTCTCGTTGTCTATCATTTATTTATATTCCATACAGTACATTTTGCACTGAGTCTGTACCCTGGAATAAATTATTTTGGAATAATCAGTTCACTTAGGTACCTGTTTGTTTATAAATACTACTTACTTGGTACTGCCTGTTCGTATGTGTTATAATTATAAGTCTTATTAATTTATACGATTAATATAAACGAATTTCATCTAAATTAGTACATCGGTTTTTGCGTTATTAATTCATTATTTCTTATAAAGTTAAAATAATTAATTGTAGAACGAATTTCATATTACTTATCATCAGGAAGTTATGAAGATACACAAGAGATAAATACTACATTAGTTTTAATACATATATTACCTACGTAATAACATTGTATGAAACGCGTTAGTGTGTACCTATCTATAGAGTAAGTACTTACATTATTTATTCGAAATTCATTGTTATAATGTAATAGGTAGGTACGACAAAACGAGGTGAATAGATACGGGAAAGGGGGTGAAAAATTTAATATAGGAAATATTATATCTTTTTTTTTAATCGTTGCCCAATACTAGGATTTTCTCCTGTGTCATGTGTGCGTTTACAAACATACAAGTTCAACATACACATAACACTCAGACCCGAAACAACAATTTATGAATCACACAAAAACTTGTTCCGTGCGGGAATCGAACTCGCGATACGTTGCGCAGCAGTCTGTTGCCTAGCCACCGCACCAACTGTGCAGTCAAATATATGATTCAAGTATTTACTCCTCAAATTCCATTCACCCCATTTTACCCAGTACCGCCACGAAAGTGGGTTAAATACCTAGTAATGTATTCCGGGTGCAATACCTGGGATAGCCATTCTTATAGATATTAGTAAAAATAGAAGTACCAACCCAAGAAAACTTAGAGAGTATATAAGGATAGAATAAAAAAACGTCCAAAAGACACGTGCATTTGTTATCTTAAAATTCGTAATTACCTAATTAGATCACTAAATAACAATTAACAGTAAAGTGGTTTCATAATCATTATTATGTATCTGTGCATTCAATTATCTTATCTACATTTAATTTAATATTTGTAAAATCAGACTGAAGTATGAGTCAGCCATTACATCGAGATCGTCACAGTCAGGTGGACAAGAGACGTGTACGAATTCTTTCTTAGTCATGTCTGACTGTAAATTTACACTGGATTCAGTGTGTCTATGCGCGATAGAGGAATGGTTGCAATGTTACTCATTCTTCAAAAAAATTAAATTTGGTGGACCTGGTTTTTATTGACTGCCTCGTTGGCCGAGTGGTCGTAATTGCGACTGCCGGGCAAGGGGTCTCGGGTTCGATTCCCGGGTCGGGCAAAGTATTACTGGGTTTTTATAAATATTCTCAGTAGCAGCACGGAGTCTGGAATTGTGCCCGGTATATGGCAATGGGTTACATGGGACTCATAACATAAATAGTAAAAAGTGGGTGTTACATTGTACAGTGGTATAATGTGCACCTCTGCCTACCCCTTCGGGGATAAAAAGAGTGATGTTATGTATTTTACCTAATACCTACTCCTAAGTAGCCCTGTACCATCTATAGGTATTATCAGTCACAGGATCCATGATCCATATGGACAGCAAAGAAGTATAGATGGAGACAGATATGAAAAATCCTAGAAACAATAGGTAATTTCTAAATGAGACTGAATTGTGTGTAATGATGATTGTGCTCTCAGACAGGTCTGTAGTGCACGCGAACGGATAACCTTATTAAAGAAAATAGTCTGGTAGAAGCAATCCTGGCCTTTATTCCACCGAATATCTTTGTTAATTCGTTCCTAAGGTCGCTATTTAACGGTATTTGATCATTATCAATCGTCATCAACAGCCTATAAGTAGCCACTGCTGCCCAAAGGCCTCTATTGACACGGAGAAGGTTTGAGCATTAAACTGTCAAACACCAAGCGGTCACCGGTGACCGCAACCTATTGTTCTTTAATTGTGTCTATAAATACGGTACTCGACGAGTTAATCACCACGCTTGCGATTTCAAACTTATACCTAATTAGAAATTATAAGTCCAGGTTTCCTCACGAATTTTTCCTTCACCGTTTGTCAGTGGTATCTAAATAATCTTAAAAAGTACATATAACTTGGAAACAGTGACATTGGTACTTGCGTTTGGTAGGTTTCGAACCCGGACCCTTGTGCATGAGAAGTGGACGTCTTAAACCTTCAGCACGACATTTTTGATGGTCTTTGATGGTCTTTCTGAATTCATGATCATTGATCAATTCACATGACGAAAATCTACAGCCTACACGCCCGAATACTGAAAGGCGCCTCAATTTAAAGTTATACGTAAATATCGTGCCATCTCTGTCATTTTACAAAGAATTTGTAGAGATAGAACTATACTTAAACGCAACTTAAAGTTCAGTAGCGTTTGAGTATTTTGACACGTCTTTTATTTTTTTTGAGGGGGGAAAATCATCCAATGTCTTTTCTCCCCGAGAGGGAGTGTCAGATTTATACTGACTAAAACCACCCGTTCCTACTTCTGCCCTTCTAGCCGAGCACCGGCAACTAGAACAGGGACCTCTTATACGTAAGAAGTTGGTCATAACCACTTTTACTACCATACTGAACGAAACTAAATGTCTATTTGTAACTTGCTAGGATCCTGTTCTGAGCCACATAAATATTGTAGTAACAAACATGAGACAGGATATAACTGATAACTTTTTGGATCTACTACACTAAGTAGTGTATGGTTTCCGCATCAAACTTCCGTAGTTATGGTTCCCATATTATTACCTAATGACTATTAGCTATGTTATGTCCAACGTCTACTCGTGCATTAGACCGAAACCTTGCTTCCTATTAAGACTGATTTATAAGTCAGTGTAAAGTCAAATTATAAGTATTTATTTAAATTAAATTAAACCATAGACTGGTATTTTTGAAACGTCCACAAATAAAGTAATAAATAATAGTCTGTCAGTCTTTTCGTTGAAGCTAGATGTTCGTAGATTCGAATGGAGAAGAGCGCGAAGTAAGAAGAAAATCCGCTCATTACTCTTTTAATATATGAACAACATTATTCTATACGATAAAGGAAAAACGATAATAATACATAATGAAAAAATGGAAGAAGACATTATCAATTCTAAAGAAGAAGAAGATAAGGACAAGAAGAATCAAAATTGTAAACAAGACGACAGTAGTACTGATGGTGATGTTCACGAGATGCTGTGAGAATGTCTGACAGTCCTCAGTCCAACACATGATGAGAATTAAAACAGCTCGCTATCTCAAAACATAATAGACGTAGATATACACGTGCTAAACAAACAGTAAGACATATTGCAAAATATTTAGACAACGACTTCAAACTGGTTTTGGTGGCAAAGAACTTTGTTGCAGTTGCGAAAAGTAGCTTCGGTCACGTTTGTGTATAATATATTTTATCAATCGACTGACTTATGTCTTTTTAAATTTAATTTTTTATGCCATATCTCAGTTTTCCAATTCACCAAAGAATTATTTATTAGTTTATTATCTCAACAATTACAAATGTTCAATCGTCACTGCATGGGTGCACAAAATCAGTGCTGGGTGACTTGTATGCCTGGCTTACACTGAGTGGGTGACCCTTTTAGCATAGGCATGTTGTCAGCGTCTCTCTTCTAATTCTTCTGTTTTAATTTTTCAACTCAATGTTTTTATTACTTCCACTGTCACACCTTTATTGTCTTTTTTATATTTTATTTATGCTGCATCGTGCCTGGTGCTGTATAAATGTTTTATTTTTCTTTCAATACTTGTCTAATATTGAGACTCTCCCAGTAAATTATGACACAACAGGTACTTGTGTTGAGCCGATTCGCAAGTGGAAGAATTACAGCATTACAAACAAAATTTTCGTATTTAGTTTTCGTATTTGCGTTACCAGCGCCAGGCCCTGTCTAGCACATGCTGAACTGGTCCCATTTCACGGCATACTTGGGCCATGAACATGTATTCATCAGAACCTTTTTTTTCCTACTAATAGAATAACACACCAGGGGCCTTAGTACGAGTTTGTTACGTTTAAAGTATTCGAAACGAGTACGCATTCGGTACTCAATCAGAAGCAACCAATCAGAGCGCCGAACGCGTACTCGTTACATTTCACTTGTTTTTTTAGCGTGAAATAAAGTTTTTTCTTTCTTTTTTTGAAATTGAAATCGCAACTAGTAGAAAACTTCTGTTAACAGGATTTCCACACTAATCTAAGTAATAAGCTATTAGAAACTTGACTAAGTTAGACGAAAAAAAAACAAAATTAAGAAAAATATAAGGTACAGAAAATTACACGCACTAAGGTGAAAATTGTATAATAATTAGTGAAATCACTAGAAAAGCTAACTGATCTTTATTATAATGTAAACTAGTATTTTATAGGATGAGTCTATGCATGCAGATCATGTCTCGGATTATGCTAATCGTCGCTACTGGGCCAAGGAAGTCAGGAGTCCTTTCAAACCCCACCACTAGAGCATCACTTAATGTTTTATTTATTTATAGTATTGTGAAAGTACGGCCTTTATTTAATAGAAGGATCTATTCATATTAATTGCAACTTGCAATCATGAGTTCACGCGATCGATTATCAGGTCGGCCAATAAGAAAGAAAAATAAATCATATCCAATATATTTATTATTTTAATACTTTATT